AGTCTCCTGGTCGAGCCAACGCATCAAGTGCGCGACGCTGTCGTCGACCGAGTCGGAGTACGTGGCGGCCGTCGAAGCCGGCAAGGAGGGACGCCGACTTCGCTTCCTCCTGGCAGAGTTTCAGCAGCTGGATGCTGGGAAGCCGACCGTCCTTCGGGTGGACAACAAGTCGGCCATCACAGTCGCCGAGGGCATGGGGTTGACAGGCAACCTCAAGCACATGGAGCGGCGACAGGCCTGGCTGCAGCACATGGTGAAGCGGGGGAAGTTTGCGCTGCAGTACATCCCGACCGCTGAGCAGCCGGCCGACTTCCTGACGAAGGCGCTGCACTATCCGGCCTTCAACCGGTGCTCCGTCGCAATCGGCCAAGTGCGTCTGGCCGACGTGGGCGACGGCGACGACGACGTGCAGCAGTAGGTGCCATGCCCTCTTGCATGGCTGGTGCGGTGGACGACGTGCTGTGTGTTGGGTGCACGTCGACGAGCTGTTCTCTGAAGAGGTACTGCCGTGTGGGCTGGGGGCCCAAGCGTGAACGCGGCAGGGGAGTGTCAACGGGAGTTGTATGTTGGCCCCGTCCTCGCTTGGGCGGAGCCGACTTCGTGGTCGGGTGTAGGGTGCAGCCGACCTGCAGCAGTGGGCGAGTTGGTCGATGAGGTTGGTCGACCTGCACGGGGAGCCACTGCATGGGCGCCGACTTCGGGAGGGCGTCAACTTCGGCTGGTCGACCTGGGACGTCGACCAGCCCTTCTGGTCGACCAGGAGTGACGTCGACTTGGAGCTGGTCGACCAGGGGATAGTGGTCGACCTGGGGAGGTCGACTAGAGGTGGCCGTCAACTTGGGAGGTTGACCGGCACGTACCAGAGGCAGTGGTCGACCTGGGGAGGTCGACCGAAAGTGGTCGTCGACCTGGGTGGTCGACGGGCACGCACTGGAGCCTCTGGTCGACCTGGTTGCCCGGTCGACCAGGTTACCTAGGTGACGAGGTGCTGCGAAGGCTTGCGATGGTCGCCCAGGTGGTTTTGGCGAGGACGACCTCGGTGATGGTATCCCGAGGTCGACGTGGTGCATCAGAAGCAGTCGTCAGCACGAAGTTGATGTGGTGTGTGCGCTGTGCAGGTGACGAGGCACTGCACGCCAATCATCTGCGAGCACATGCGAAGTAGGTGCGCTGCTGTCCTGCGGGAGCAACGCTGGCACGCCGTCGACTTGCGCTGTTGTCACGCCGTCGACTTGCAGCGTTGGCAAGCCGCGACTCTGCGCTGCTGGAGCGCGGTCGACCAAGTCGTGCTGGCACGCGGTCGACCGTGCTGCGCTGGCAGTCGTCCTGCTTGCATGCTAGCTCTGATGTAGTCTTGCCTTGCCAACTTCATTGTATCATTGTTGTCAACTTTCTCTAGTGAAACTCTTGCCAAATTGCCTTGTGAACTAGCAAGCAGTGTGTGCACTAGGAGAACGACTAAGGACCAACGAACGCAGAGATCATACGAGCACCCGTGCCTAGCCCGTAGTCTAGCTCCCGTTGCTAAAGTTATCTCCGCATGCTGGACGTTGCCGCTCAGCATGACTACGAGCTTCACTCTCTTGACTTCAGCACAGCCTTCTTACAAGGCAGCCTGCACGAGGAGATCTGGCTGCGCCGCCCACCTGGCTTCACTGGGTCGTTTCCTCCTGGTACCCAGTGGAGCCTCCGGCGGCCAGTCTACAGTCTCCGCCAGGTGCCTCGTGAGTGGCACGACACACTGAGGACGACGCTTGCGGCTCTTGGGTTTGCTCCTTCGACTGCTGACCCGTCGTTGTTTCTGCGCACCGACACTTCGCTGCCGCCGTTCTACATCCTCGTGTACGTCGACGACTTGGTATTTGCCACTGCTGACACTGAGGCTCTCGCTCAGGTGAAGTACGAGCTGCAAAAGAGACACACGTCCACAGACCTGGGTGAGCTGCGCAGCTACCTTGGCTTGCAGATCACCCGGGACAGAGCACGCCGCACCATCACCCTGACTAAGTCACACATGGTGCAGCAGGTCCTTCAGCACTTCGGCTTCTCCTGGTCCTCCCCACAGGCCACTCCTCTGGCTACAGGTCACTCGCTCTCAGCTCCACCTTCGGACAAATCTGTAGAGCCGAGTGGCCCGTATCCAAAGCTTGTGGGCTGCCTCATGTACCTGATGACCTGCACTCGACCTGACCTCGCATACCCTCTTGGTCTTTTGGCTCGTTACGTGGCTCCTGGCAGGCACCGAAAGGTGCACATGGATGTTGCGAAGAGGGTGTTGCGTTATCTGTGCAGTACATCAGGCATGGGGCTCGTGCTTGGAGGACGGAGTGAGGTGGTCCTCATTTGGCATTCAGACGCGTCTTGGGTTGACGACCAGACTACACAGCGGTCGTCATAGGGTTACACCTTCAGCCTTGGCTCTGGCTCTGTTTCTTGGCGGTCTACTCGCTCGTCTTCTGTTCTCAGCTCCAGTTGTGAGGTTGAGATCTACGCCACAGCCATGGCCGCCATTGCTGCACTTGGGCTACGTTGGCTCACCTACCTGCTGACTGACTTGGGTGAGCGGCCTTGTTCTCCTCCAGTTCTGTACAATAACAACAAGGCGGCCATTGCCTTGTGTGAGGAGCACAGACTGGAGCACAGAACGAAGCACATCGCTCTGCGTTACTTCCTGGCTCAAGAGTTGCAGCAGCGAGGCCAGCTTCGTCTTCGTCACGTGGCCACTCGGGCCAACACTGCTGATATATTCACCAAGGCACTTCCGTCTGGTGATCATCAGCGCTTTTGTACCCTGTTAGGCCTTGTGCCTACGTTTCCACACTTGCTGTAGCCTTTGCCTGTACTGTGATCTATATATATACCTGCATGCTGGCTCTTGCTAGGTAGTCATCACTGTACTGTTATTGCTGCATATATATCTCTGCATGTGAACTGGCCTTGTGGCCCTTTGCTTGTGCTCAGAGTGTGTGGTGACGTTGTGATCCACCCTGAGCTTGCTTTGCTTTCTTGACTGGTCTTGTGACCTCTTGCTCTCCCCCACTTTGCCTATGGGGGTGTGTCAAACATAATTATATGTGTTATGTTACTGGTAGGCTGTAGTGGGGTAGATACTGTGGGGTATAACCCCTTAGGGTTTACCTCTCAGACACTGTTATAAGGGGATATACCCCTCAGAGCATATGGCTAGCTAGAGTTTCTATTTAATTCTCTTCATATCTCTATCTAATAATCTTGTTCCCTTTCCAATTGTTATTAACAAAGTCATTAAGGACTTCATTATCTTCCTACAACTTAGCAAGTCTTATCCTATTCACTGCGATCCTTGGTTATATCAACACTTGACCCAACCTTACATGCTTTTTAGCACTTCCCTGCTAAATGTACACCACAGCTTAGGTAGAGGCAAGTCAACGTGCACAATGGCCGTGTCAGCGTGCACCCTAGTTTACTGATGAGCCGTGCTCCCAAATGGGTCCCCCTTCTATTTCACTCATTATTTGTCCCCCATGGCCAACTTGCGCTGTTTGGTTTCTTGTTGCACATCTCAGGAAGTTAATTTCAAATTGGGCCATGCATTCCACTATGTGGGTCTGCTCCACCTCGTCGTCGACCGCTATAAGCGTCTCCGTTGCTTCTGTCAAATGTTGATATTTATGATAGGCAGTAGTGAGGTGCTCCTTATTGAGTACAACTCAGTTAGGGTTTGCTATTTGTATCTCATACATTCCTAATCTCATCATTCCATTGCATTCACTTTTTGAGAGCTTCATACAGGTATGATACTACGGTGGAGCAGTTAGGATTAAGGATTCGCAGAAGGGGGGAGGTTAATGGTCATGAAGGGCGGGAATATGACGCAGGGTTGAAACGAGAGAAGCAGCCCATGACTTGGTTGCCATTTACAAAATTAGGGGAGCTGATATGATAGCTAGAAAAGTCATGAGAAACTATTTGACCACTTGAGTTTGGTGTAATGTGCTGACTTGGTTATTCTCGTAACGGTCCCTTTTGAAACGAAATGGTGACGTGTGGAATATACAATTGCCCATATTTGATTTGTCGCATTTTCCGCGTGGCTGCACTTTTTGCTGAGTCCGCGATGTCTCGTCGCAGAAGAATATTCCTTTCTCAACGACCTCCGCTTTCAACGGTCTCTGCTGACCTGTGCTCGCCTTGGCTCTCCAGAACTTCCCCGCTTGAACTTCTGAACTTTTCGCGTGCTTCGCCATGACTAATGCCAGCCTCGTTTACGAATCCCCATAGCCAGTAGTGATCGCGAAGTGCGAGAGGAAGCACAGTCGGGAACTGCGAGGCAGCATAGCTGTTTTGCGCCAAGAGTTTTCGCCGAGGCGCGTAACTGGTCGGTACGTGGCATCGTGCCTTGGTTGGGGCTCGCTTTCCAATGTCGCTTCCAGCAGGCACGTCACGTCGCATCGCTCGCTCTAACTACCGCGATCACTCCTTCCCTCCCTGCCCTCCTGAATCCTCACCTGACCTGATCCTCCCCCTCCCTCTCAACCTCCTCCTCCTCTCACCAACGTCTCACACTTCATGATACCATCACCTTTACTCCCATACACGCCCATTCTCTGCCACACGACGCACCTCCTCCGACTATTTATGGCATTTTCTAGACAATTGTGGCGCTTTAGACCACGGAATCGCCCGGCAAGCAGGAATGCTCTCTACGCACACCACGCTCACGAATATAATTCCACACAGCAACGTTGAGCAGCCGATTTAAAAATCATCGAACAAAACAGGTAGGATCGACAGAAGCAGGAGCTCCAGAGGTGGGGAGGGCGCGCACAAGCAAGCCTTAAAGTGTCGCCCTGCCAGCGCTGCCACCCTGCACCGCTCCTTGAATTGCTCCCTCCGCCACTCTGCAACTGCGCCGCTTTCTGCGTACCACTTTGATCCCGTCACGCTTCGGCCGCTGCGTGGATCGCACCGCAATGTGCGCGTTTCAACCAGCTATCTCGCGGGCGGCAGGCGCGCCGATGAATCCGCTGTCCGCAGAATGGGCAGCAGCTCGGCTGAGACAAGAAGCGCACCGACTGCGCCCACCTGGACCATGCGCGCAACCGCCCCTCCCCGCGTCACCGTGCTGTGCGCCAGCAGCGCGGAGAAATGGATCCTTGGTCTTGTGCGTTGCGGCGAAAAAGTCTGAAGGGGCCACAAAGCAGGCGACGGAGCGCCGCGAGTTCTCATTGGCTCTCGGCGGACGCGACACGGTTCACCACCAGCATCCCCACTGGGCGCCTCGCGTGTACCACCACGTCGACGTGGCACTCAGCGACTCGGAGAAAGAGGGCGGGAAAAAGAACGGCGGGAAGAAGAAAGCCTGGAAGAGAGACGCCATGAATGGCGCCGCGATGGCCACGTTGGCGGCGCGCGTGGAAAAGGCGGCCTCAGGCTTGAAGGGTGGCGGCGGGGAGGAGCGAACGCGAGTGGAGAGTCTCGAGGCGGGGCGCGTGGATACGGCGGTTCCCGGTTTGAAGGGTGGCGACGGGGAGAAGCGGGCGAGAGTGGAGATGCTGGAAGGGGGGCGCGTGGAGCGGCGAGCGCACTACCCGGACGACGCGGAGTCGCACGCCGTGGCTGCGGCGAGGGACGGCGGGGCGAGGAGGGGCGGGTACGACTACGACGAGGAGCTCGCGCGACTGCAGGTGAGACGACGCGCGCACATGGGCAGCGCTTGGTGGGACGAATGGGCGTGGCAGGGGATGTGAGTGGGGGACTAGCGGCTGGATGAGGCAGCGCCCGATCGAATTCCCTTGAGACGGGGCAATGGCGAGTGCACTGTAAGCCATGCGCGAGATTGCGCTTCAAGCACCCTCTGATCCCTTCCCTCGCTTTGCCTTCCACCTTCCCGCGCACACTCGCTCACGCACTGCTCAGATTCCGGACCTCATATTCCGAACCTCATATCGAGGGCCATGGACCCAGGACCTCATTTGCTGTCTCTTCGGTGTCTACTTCCTAGAATGAATCTGCCCATCTCCCAACGCGCACCAGCCCTCTCCTGCCCTCTCCAACCACCCCCCTTTCTTCCTCGTCTGTCCTCGCCTCACACCTCCTCTTCTCCACTTCCCCCTCCAATCCTCCCCCTACTTTGCCAGGGCGAGCTGGTGAAGCTACAGGAGTGGATATCCCGCAAGGGGCTGCGAGTGGTGGTGCTCTTTGAGGGGCGGGACGAAGCAGCCAAGGGCGACCTCATGAGCGCCATAGCAGGGCCGCTCAACCCGCGCGTCTGCAGCGTCACGGCGCTGGGCGCCCCTTCCGACCGCGAGCGCACGCAGTGGTACTTCCAGCGCTTCGTCGCTCACCTGCCTGCCGCCGGCGAGATGGTGCTGCTGGGCCGCAGCTGGTACGCACGTGCAGGCGAGGAGCATGTGAAGGGACTCTGCTCTGATGCAGAGTACCGAGACTTCCTGCGCTCGTGCCCCGAGTTTGAGCGCATGCTGGTGCGATCCGGCATCATCCTCGTCAAGTACTGGGTCTCAGTCAGCCCTGAGGAGCAGGAGCGGCGGTTTCGCGAGCGGCTGGCGCGGCCGGAGCAGCGGTGGAGGGTGAGTGCGGAGGACGTGGAGAGGCGGGCGCGGTGGGCGGAGTATTCATATGCCAAGGACGTGATGTTTGGGTTCTGTGACATCAAGCAGGCGCCGTGGTTCGTGGTGCCCGCGGATGATGAGAGGCGCGCGCGGCTGAATGTGATGGCGCACCTGCTGGCGCACATCCCCTATGAGGATGTCCCGCTGCCCAGCAGTGTGGCCCTGCCGCCGCTGCAGCAGGACTTTCATGTGCGCCCGCCCGTGTCGGACCAGACCCACGTGCCGCAGCTGTTCTGAGACTCACAGGGGAGGGGAGGAGGAGGGGAAGGGCAGTGAGATGGTCAATCGTGCATTGAGCCATTTCGCCTGCTGGCAGTTACACACAAGCGGATGTTTGATTGGCGAGGCATGGAGGGGCTGGGGTGAAGAGCTACTAGGAAGGGAAGGAAGCTTGTCCAGGAGAGTCACTTGTCAGCATGCAAGGATGCTACTCTCTAGGAAGGGAAAGGCTGTTCACACCTGGTGGTGATTGTCTTATGCGCAGGTGGATCAACACAATAAAAGACCCCTCGATGCAAGGTCGCTGGTTGCGCTGGTCCATCTTAGGGGCTTCAGTGGTTGAAATAATTGTTTAATGTTCATGATAAGAGCGTGTTCCTCCGGCCTAATATCAGGCCAACGCCCTGCCCATGGGGGAAATAAATGTCATTTACGGAAATTTGTGTTAAGGACACAAAAATGTAGAGCTCGTAATGGCGTTTTCTTTAGCGAAGAGAACACATTTGCTTCAGTGGCGAAAGTTCGAGAAAAGGCCCATGCGGCAAGATTCATGCGCCAGCGCATCCTGTGTGGCCAAATGTGGGCTAATCGGCTCACCAAGAGGCGCATGGTGATGCCAGCGGGCGGAGAATTGAGGTGTGCGGCGGGGGGGGGAGGGGGAGGGGACAACAAGGCAGGGTTTGAACATGGGCGGTCCAATAGGAAGGGAACGCAAAAAGATTTCCTTCCTATCCCCCTCGCTGTGACACCCGGATCCTCTAGGGGTACCTTGTGGTGTGGACGCCCCACAGGTGCTCCCGGTGCGCCTTCTTGACAGGGGTCATGAGGGGGTCCTCATAATCGTCCCTCATTCCAAGAATGCCTTCGTTCCTTTCCTTCCTAAGCCCTCGATAGAGCTCACGCCATGGCGAGACTGCGTGCCTCGGCGTTTCTTTTTAGAAGGCTCCCTAGGCTTGGTGCTTGTCGTGGCCGCCATGATGACCCTTGGCACCGCTCCTCGCATCCTGCGCCTTCGAATCCTCCTGCGCCGCCAGCCCTGCCAGCGCCACCAGCCCCGCCTGTGCCACCTACTCCTCCCTCTCCTCCTGTTCTCCGCCAACGCGATCTAGCCTACCGGGAGTGACACAGGAGCCGACATCGTGTCTGAGACTGCCGAGACAGGAGGCACTGCCGAAACTGAAGATGTCCCACACCCCGCGCGTGTTTGGCATGACGACGACGACTGGCCCGAACCGGCTGCCGGCGACGAGGAAGGCGTTGAGTGGTGGTCACGTGACGGGCTTCCTGAACACCTCCCGATCCCCACGTTTCCCCCTCCTAACCGAAAACGCCCTAATCCCCCGTGTGCGAATCGAGATGCCCGTCTCCCCTCCCCCAGAAACAAGACTACGACTCGGAAACGGCATGCTTATACCGCCGGCGAGAAGCTCAAGTGGGTGGATCGCCTGGAAGTCGTTCACAACGTCAGCGAGGTCGCACGCGAATCGGGGATTTCTTGTCGTTCCATCGCCGAGTGGGTCGCGAATCGCAAGGAGCTGTAGGCTGTGGCGAAGTGTCGGAAACGTCTTCACGGGCATGGGCGCTCCTCGTGGTACCCTGACATGGAGCTCGTGGTGTATACACGTCTGCTGGCGGCACTCGCGAAAGGCGTTGCGGTGTCTGTGGGAAGACTGACACAGTGGTCCCACGAGTCTGTGAAGGTGTTGTTGTCAAACTATATATGCTGCATATTGTCTAGGCTGTAGTGGGGTAGCCCATATGGGGTACAACCCAATTAGGGTTTACTACTTGTACTCCTGCATCCTGCTAGTTCATCCATTCTTGTCATTATTTTCTAACATGGTTTCAGAGCAGTAGGTCCGTAGGACCGTTTTTTTCGGGCCCACCATTACCTAATGTTCGACTGCGGTTACAAGGTTACCCCACGCCCTGCCTTGCCTTGCCTTGCCTGCCTTGCCTTGACGGGGCGCTGCGCTGAGCGCGCCGTCGTGTAGCCCTCGCGCTGCCTGCTGCTGCCTTGCCTGCCTACTGCTCTCCCGCGCACTGCCCCAGCTACGAGGGCGCCGCCCCTGCAGGCCCCGTCAGGCCCGTACGTCGCCCCTACAGGCCCCGTCAGGCCCGCCAGGCCAGCGCGCCGCCCCTGTAGGCCTCGTCAGGCCCGTGCGTCGCCCTTGCAGGCCCCGTCAGGCCTGCGCGCCGCCCCTGCAGGCCCCGCCAGGCCCGTGCGTCGCCCCTGCAGGCCCTGTCAGGCCCGCGCGTCGCCCCTGCAGGCCCCGTCAGACCGGCGCGCGGCCCCAGCAGGCCCGTCAGGCCAGCGCGCCGCCCCTGCAGGACCCCGCCGCCTGCGCGCAGCCTCTGCCCGACCGCGCGCGTCGCGCTACAGCCCCGTGCGTCGCGTACGCTGCCCGCGCGTCGCGCTGCAGCCCCGCGCGCCGCGGCTGCTGTCCTCGCGCAGCCCGCGGCGGCTTCGCGCGCCGCGCCCGCAGCTCTCGCGTTGCGCTGCAGCCCCGCGCGCCGCAGCTGCCCCTGTTCGTCGCGGCGCCACCCCCCCTGGACGTCGCGGCCCTGCCCTGCAGTAGCTTCCGAGGAGCCTACTGCCGCCGTCGCGGCTCTGCCCTGCAACAGCTGCCGAGGAGCCTACTGCCGCCGTCGCGGCCCTGCCCTGCAGCAGCTGCCGAGGAGCCTACTGCCGCCGTCGCGGCCCTGCCCTGCAGCAGCTGCCGCGGAGCCTCTTGCAGCTGTCACGGCCCCGCCCTGCAGCAACTGTCGCGGTCCTGCCCTACCACCGACGCGGCCCTGCTCTGCGCAGCTGTCGCGGCCCCGCCGTCGCCGCCGTCGTGCACCTACCCGGCCGCCGCCCACCGAGCGCCGGCCCTGACCGCCACTGGTGAGCACCTGCCTGCCTGCCTGCCGGCCTGCCTGCCTGCCTGCCTGCCTGCCTGCCACGCCTGCCCTGTCAGCGCTGCTACTGCTGCTCCTTCTGTTACTATTACTAGGCTGCTGCTGCTGCTACTACTGCTACTGCTGCTACTGGCAGGTGGCCAGATGCAGCTCCAGCGACGTTCACGCGAGTCTCTCACGCCCCAGCAGCTTAGTGAGTGGTACGCTAGTTGGGGCTCTCGCGGTAGCTGTCGTAGCTGTCGCCCTGGAACTGGTCAGTTGGGGGCGTCTGGCAGTGGCCAGCTGCAGCTCCAGCAGCGTCCACGCGAGACACTTACGTCCCAGCAGCTCCATGAGTGGTACGCTCAGAGTAGCAGGTCTACGCGTACAGTTCGCTGCCCGTACGTCATTCGCACAAGTGATCCGACTGGTCAGCCTTGCAGGACGCTTGGTCATACACAGTCCCGCTGCTTCGCCCGTCTGAGCGACGCCTGGCGTACCGAGTTTGGTGACGAGGCTGAGCTCCCCACCTGGGTGGAGCTGCTTGGACAGAGGGTAGATATCTTTGCTCTTGACTATGATGCTATTCTCACTGCCATGTATGCATTGCCTACTAGTGTTGACCGTGCCTGTTACCTGTGCGTACCGCCTGACCCTGGTATAGAGCCTGCTGCTCTCGGTACTGGTGAGGCTGCTGCTCTAGGTGCTCGTGCGTCTCCTGCTCTAGGTGCTGGTGCGGCTGCTGCTCTAGGTGCTAGTGCGTCTCCTGCTCTAGGTGCTGGTGAGGCTACTGCTCTAGGTGCTGGTGAGTCTGCTCTCTCTGGTACTGTGCCTACTGCGGTCTTGCACATCTTCACCCTTGACTCAGGAGCTTCCCGCTCCTTCTTTTGCGACTGCACCACACCTACGCCGCTCAGTCGGCCAGTTCCAGTCTCCCTGGCGGACCCCTCCGGGGGTCCAGTCCTTGCCCACTATTCCACGGTTCTGCCGTGTCCGGCCGCCCCGTCTGGCTCGCTGTCAGGTCTTTACCTCCCCTCGTTCTCTACGAACTTGGTGAGTGGAGCTGACCTCCAGGATCGGGGGGTTGACCAGTTCACTCCTGCGAGTCAGCGAGTGACTCACTGTACGTGTGCTAGGACGGGCCGACACTTGGCCACGTTCACCCGTGCACCTGGCTCGAGTCTGTACACACTGACCACTGAGTCCCCTCAGGTAGCTGCATCTGCGTCTACGTCTGGTCAGCTGGCAGCCCCCTGCGAGTGTCGCGCTTTGTCGCACGACACTCTCCTGTGGCACCACCGCCTTGGTCACCCCTCCCTGCCTCGCCTTCGTAGCATGCACTCTCGCTCCCTGGTCTCTGGTCTTCCCAGGTCTCTGCCTGCCCTCCCTCCCTCGCCTGCGCCGCCCTGCATTCCTTGTGTCGAGGGGCGGCAGCGTGCCGCTCCTCACTCCTCCTCGTTCCCTCCCACAGAGGCTCCCCTGCAGACTCTCCACCTGGACGTGTGGGGCCCAGCCCGCGTCCGTGGACAGGGCCACGAGCGGTACTTCCTGCTGGTCGTCGACGACTACACGCGTTACACCATGGTCTTCCCCTTGCAGAGCAAGGGGGACGTCCCTAATGTTTTGATCCCTTGGATCCGCGCTGTTCGTCTCCAGCTCCGCGAGCGGTTCCAGCGGGACTTTCCTGTCCTGCGTCTGCATTCTGACAGAGGTGGTGAGTTCACCTCAGACCTCTTGGCAGCCTACTGTGCGGAGCACGGCATCCGCCAGACGTTCACGCTTCCGGCCTCTCCGCAGCAGAATGGGGTTGCTGAGCGCCGCATTGGCTTAGTCATGGAGGTCGCTCGTACCTCCTTGATCCATGCGGCTGCCCCCCATTTTCTGTGGCCGTTTGCGGTCCGGTACGCCGCGCATCAGCTCAACCTCTGGCCCCGTGTCTCCTTGCCGGAGACCTCGCCCACACTGCTGTGGACAGGGGAGGTTGGCGATGCGTCGCGTTTCCGGGTCTGGGGTGCTCGTGCCTTTGTCCGCGATACCACCGCGGACAAGCTCTCCGCCCGCGCTGTTCCCTGTGTCTTCCTTGGCTTTGTCCCTGACGCGCCTGGTTGGCAGTTTTACCACCCCACCTCGCGCCGTGT